GGAGTTGGAGGTTGTAGTGGGTGGAGATTATGCCATCATACTCCAGCCTGGGCAACAGGAGCAAAACTCTGTCTCAAAAAACAAACAAACAAAATATATATAGCATGTAACCCATAAATACATACACCTACTATGTACCTCCAATTTTAATTAAAATATTTTTTTCTTTTTTTGGTAATTAAAATAATTTTAAAATGGCCATATTACCTCAAAGCAATCTAGAATTATCAAACTACCAATATTATTTTCCACAGAATTATAAAAAACTATTGTAGGCCAGGTGCAGTAGCTCAAGCCTGTAATTAGAGCACTTTGAGAGGCCGAAGCGGGCGGATGACTTGAGGTCAGGAGTTTGAGACCAGCCTGGACAATGTGACGAAACCCATCTCTACTAACAGTACAAAATTAGCCAGGTGTGGCAGTGTATGCTTGTAATTCCAGCTATTCAGGACCCTGAGGCAGGAGACTTGCCTGAACCCGGGAGGCGGAGGTTGCAGTGAGCTGAGATTGCACCATTGCACTCCAGCCTGGGTGACAGAGTGAGACTTTGTCTCAAAAAAAAAAAAAAAACTATTGTAAAATTCATACAGAGCCTCAAATGAGCCCAATAGCCAAATTAATCTTTTTTTTTTTTTGAGACAAAGTCTTGCTCTGTTGCCAGTCTGGAGTGCAGTGGTATAATCTCAGCTCACTGCAATGACTGTCTCCTGGGTTCAAGCGATTCCCCTGCCTCAGGCTCCCGAGTAGCTGGGACTACAGGTACCCTCCACCATGACCGGCTAACTTTTTGTACTTTAGTAGAGATGGGGTTTCAACCATAGCCAGGATGGTCTGGATCTCCTGAACTCACGATCCACCCACCTCAGCCTCTCAAAGGGCTGATTACAGGCGTAAGCCATGGGGCCTGGCAGCCAAAGCAATCTTAATTAAAGAGAACAAAGCTGAAGGCATGACATTCCAGACTGTACAGGGCTACACTAACTGGGAGCTTCCTGATAGCTGAAGATTTGGGGCTCCTGGAGGGAGGTGTGCTGAGGGAGGGCATGGAAGGTCCTCACCCCATCTCCCATACCTTGTCCTATGCATCTCTTCATTTGTGTCCTTTGTAATGTCCTTTATGATAAGCCAGTAAATGTAAAACAAACAAACAAAAAAGTATACAGCAACCAAAACAGCATGTTATTGGTACAAAAAGAGACACATAGGCCAAGCGCAGTGGCTCATGCCTGTAGTCCCAGCACTTTGGGAGGCCGAGGCGGGCAGATCATTTGAGGTCAGGAGTTTGAGACCAGCCTGGCCAACATTGTGAAACCCCATCTCTACTAAAGGTACAAAAATTAGCTGGGCGTGGTGGTGGGTGCCTGTAATTCCAGCTACTTGGCAGGCTGAGGCAGGAGGATCACTTGAACCCGGAGGCAGGGGTTACAGTAAGCTGAGATTTCACCACTGCACTCCAGCCTGGGTGACAGATCAAAATTCCATCTCAAAAAAAAAAAAAAAAAAAGAAAAAGAGACACAGAGAGTAATGGAAAGAATAGAGAACCCAGAAATAAAGCCACATACATATAAGCTTCTGATGATTGACAAAGCTGACAAAAATGAGCAATGGGGAAAGGACCTCAAATTCAATAAATGGTGCTGGAATAACTGGCTAGCCATATGCAGAAGACTGACACAGGGCAGGGTGTAGTGTGGCTCATGTCTGTAATCCCAGCACTTTGGGAGGGCAAAGTGAGATAGCTTTGAGTCCAAGGTTCAAAACCAACCTAGGCAACAACATGGCCAGACCCTGTCTCTGCAAAAATTAAAGAAAAATTAACTGAGAGTGGTGGTGTGTGTCTGTAGTCCCAGGTATTTGTGAGGCTGAGGTGGGAGGATCACTTGAGCCTGGAGGCAGAGGCTGCAGTGAGCCAGCATCTCACTGGTGGGTGCCTGTAGTCAGCTACTTGGGAGGCTGAGGCAGGAGAATCGCTTGAACCTGGGAGGCAGAGGTTGCAGTGAGCCAAGATCACAGCATTGCACTCCAGCTTGGGCAACAAGAGTGCAGCCTGGGCAACAAGAGTGAAAATCTGTAACAAAAAAAAAAAAAAGATTTGAATATGAGACATCAAACCATAAAAATCCTAGTGGCTCATGCCCATAATCCCAGCGCTTTCGGAGGCTGAGGCAGGCAGGTCACCCGATGTCAGGAAGCCAATGTGGGAGAATGCTTGAGCCCAGGAATCCAAGATCAGCCTGGGCAACATGGCAAGACCCCATCTTTTTTTTTTTTTCTTTTTATCTTGACTCACTGCAACCTCCGCTTCTCAGGTTCAAAATATTTTCCTGCCTCAGCCTCCCGAGTAGCTGGGATTACAGGCACCCACCACCACGACGGACTAATTTTTGTATTTTTAGTAGAGACGGGGTTTTGCCATGTTGGTCAGGCTGGTCTCAAACTCCTGACCTCAGGTGATCCACCTGCCTAGGCCTCCCAAAGTGCTGGGATTACAGGCGTGAGCCACTGTGCCCAGCCCAGAGTCTTGCTATGTTGCCCAGGCTGGTCTCAAACTCCTGTCCTCTAGTGATTCTACTGCCTTGCCTTCTAAAGTGCTGGGAGTACAGTTGTGCACCACTGTTCCAGGACCTCTTTTTGTACATTCTAGGGGATAAGAGTGGTTTTCGCATTTTTCTTTTTCTTTTTTTTTTTTGAGGCAGGGTCTTTTTCTAACACCCAGGCTGGAATGCAGTTCTGCAGTCATGGCTCACTGCAGCCTTGACCTCTGAGGCTCAAGGGATGCTCCTACCTCAGCCTTTTGAGTAGCTGGGACTACAGGTGAGTGCCACCATGCCCTTCTGAGCTTTTTATTTATTTATTTTGTAGAGACGAGGTCTCTTGATGCTGCCCAGGATAGTCTCTTGAGCTCAAGAGATTCTCCTGCCTTGGCCTCCCAAAATGCTGGGATTAAAAGTGTGAGTCACCAAGCCCTGCCAGTTTTCACATTTGTTAAAGCTTGTAAAAATTAAGAGGAGTACGTGACAGAGAACAGATGTGCCCTGCAAAATATGTGTCTAGTAAAATACTAACTGGCCTTTAACAGAGAGTTTGCTGAACCTTGGTGTTGTGAAAACTTGTGAAATAAATAACTCCAGGTTTAGTGGAAGCTCAGGTGAGGATGCCCCATACGTTTGTCCAAAGACAGAGCAAGTGAAATGTGCTCAGCGTTATTTTGTTGGTCTTGCTGTGTGCATGGGTTCAGATGGGGTTTGTTTTGGTGATGAGTTTCACGCAGCCACAGGTGCCTAAAAGACATCAGAACCTTCCCCGTTGCTCTTCCGCTTCTATAACTTTGTGTAATTACTGCCTCTCTACACCATGATGTCTGCTCTGCAGTAAATAATTTCTCATGAATTCTTTTTCTCTTTTTTTTTTTTTTGACATGGAGTCTCACTGTTATTGCCCTGGACTGGAGTGAGGTAGCATGATCGCAGCTCACTGCAACCTTCACCTCCCAGGTTCCAGCAATTCTCCTGCCCCGGCCTCCCGAGTAGCTGAGATTACAGGTGCCTGCCACCATGCCCAGCCAAGGTAGCAGCGAGCTGAGACTGTGCCATTGCACCACTCTCCCCTGTGCCTAAGGTTCTCCCTCAGGCTGTAGTGTCTGCCCTGGGTCTCCACGGCTGCTCTCATGAGCACTCCAGTCCTCTTCCAGCCTTAAGACCTCTCTCCTGAACTCTATCCCTTCTCTCCCAGAATTCACCCCTGAATTCTAGCTATCCTTTCCCATGAGCCAGGACCTCCCATGCCCATGAGCCACTCATCTGCCCCCTCGAACTCACTCCCATGCGGTCTAGAGTCCTTTCCCAACTATATCCTCCAATTCCTACTGTGGACTCTGGTCCTTTCCCTGAGATAATCCTATCCTCAGGCCAGAACCATCTTAAGACAACTCCCAGGTCTCTCCCCTGAGTCTGTGTCCTCAACTCCCCCAGAACTCTGTCAGAGGTGCTGGAACCAAAGCAACTCCATTTTGAGTGCAGGCTAGGAAAATGAGACTGAAACTTGCTGGGCTGCATTCTGAGAAATTCAGGCATTACTAACCTCTCATGTTTACGGTTTCGGGAACAAGTTAATAATGGTTACTAAGCAGACCCAGACTTGGGAGTGTCCACATATCCTGATACCTGGAGAGCAAAGGCATTCCTAATTTTGCTTTAAAGATAGTATCAATTCTTGCAAAAACAGTAATTAAGAAAAGTAACCCTTTATCATAAACCCTTGTGGCAGAGCACATCTCCCCATACATATGCGGGTAGAGGCATTCCTCCTTGTACTTTCGGGAGCATCCTATTCTGTCTAGGGAGCAGCTGCCCTTTCACCACTTTTTCTGTTTTTGAGACGGAGTCTCCCTCTGTCGCTCAGGCTGGAGTGCAGCAGCGCCATCTCTGCTCACTGCAACCTCCACCTCCTGGGTTCAAGCGATTCTCCTGCCTCAGCCTCCGGAGTAGCTGGGATTACAAGTATGTGCCACCATGCCTGGCTAATTTTGTTTTTATAGTAGAGATGGGGTTTCACCATGTTGGCCAGGCTGGTCTTGAACTGACCTCAGGTGACCGCCTGCCTCGGCTTCCCAAAGTGCTGGGATTACTGGTATGAGCCGCCGCACCCGGACCCACCACTTTACTTTTTTTTTTTAACGTATTTTTAAATTTTTTCCTTTAGTGATTTGTGAGACGTTTTACTTCCTTAATAAACTTGCTTTCGCTTTGCACAGAGGACTCGTCCTAAAATCTTTCCTGTGTGAGATCCAAGAACCCTCTCTTGGGGTCTGGACCCGCACCCCTTTCCTGTAACAACTCTCCTCTGGGCGCTGACCCCTTCCCTAGGACCAGTCCACTTGCCTCCCTTCCGCCCTGTCCCTGCTGTGGGGCACCGCCAGGATTTGGTAGAGGTCCGGTCTGCTGGCGCTGTTCCTTCTTGAAAAGGTTGTGTCTGACTACCCAACAAAGAGACCTGCGCATCTTTGATTTTATTTATTAATATTTTTGATTGACAAATAATTGGATTACACTGATTGAGTGGAACGTCATGTTCCAATGCATGTACACAGTGCGGAATGATTAAATCAGGCTGATTAACGCGTCCATCACCTTGCTTCCTTCTCCGTTTTCCCTGTGGTGAGACATCTGAAATTTACTTTGTTACTGTGACTTTAATTGAATCATTCTGGTCTCTGCCTAGAGGGTCAGCACGTTGTGGTTGTACTCTACATTTCCTGGAGGAGCAATGACATTGAATACATTTTCACTTGTTGATTGGCCATTTGCAGATCTTCTCTTGTGATGTAAGTTTTCTCCCCTTTAAATTGATTTGTTTTTTAAACATGAGGGATTCTTTATATTTTCCACGTGAGTTCCTTTGTCAGGTGTAGTAGAGCAAACATCTTCTTCCAGTCCTGTTTCTTGTCTTTTTTCTATCTTAACCACATCATTTGATGAACAGAATTTTGTACTTTTGCTGATGAAGTCTAACAACTTTTTAAGTCTGCTGTGTTTTGCCTACTAAGAAATCATTGCGTAACTCACGGTTGTGACAATAATCTCTTAATGGTTTCTTCTAGAAGATCAACAGTCTTTTCCAGACTCACAGCAGCCACAGGGCGTTTTCTTGTAAAAATTCACTAATGGCAATACTAATGGTAGTAATGATCATAAAAACAACAATAGTTATTTATTGAACTTACACAATATTCCAGTTACACTTTCAAAGACTTTACATGTACCAAACATTTAATTTCCAGTTTCCACAACAGCAGTCTCGGGTAGATGTGATTATCCTTATGTACAAATAATGCACATGGTGTCCACGTGGCAAACATTGCACAGGGGTAGTGAGCCTTTAGCCCATGTCTCACAGGGAATAGGGTGGGGGATGGCGGGGACAACTGGTAGAGCGGGTGCCATGACTAAAGGCTTTCTCACGTGTTACATTAGCAGGGTTATTCCACAGATGCCACGGAATAAACACAGGATGGTATGGGTAGTCTTTATGTATTCATTAAACTAACCTACACAATAAAAACGTTTACACCAAAAACACAATCATTAAGAATTAAGAAAAAGTGATTTTTCCACTCTTCGAATTTGCCTCTAGAATAACTTGATATTCTGTAAGCAGAAGAGTGATCAGTGGGCTGGGCATGGTTGCTCATGCCTGTAATCCCAGCACTTTGGGAAGCCGAGGCAGGTGGATCACCTGAGGTCAGGAGTTTGAGACCAGCCTGGGCAACATGGTGAAACCTGTCTGTACCAAAAATAAAAAAATTTGCCAGGCATGGTGGTGCCTGTAATCCCAGCTACTGGAGAGGCTGAAACAGGAGAACTGCTTGAACCTGGGAGGCAGAGGTTGCAGTGAGCCAAGATCGTACCACTGCACTCCAGTCTGGGCAAGAATGAGACTCTGTGTCCAAAAAAAAAAAAAGATCAGTGAAGGCTTTCCTATGTTCAACAGTATCATGAGTTTTTCTCATGTTGAGGAAGGCATGAATGTAGTCTAGAGGCCTTCATACATTCTTTGTACAGAAGCCCCCTCTCACCTGAGGGGGATACGTTCCAAGACACCCGGTGGATACCTGAAACCATAGATAGTACTGACTGTGTTTTTTTCCTGTACATATATACAATATTATATACTACATTTTTTCCCTGTACAAACATATCTAAAGTTTAATTTATAAATTAGGCACAGTAAGAGATTACCAACAATAACTAATAAAATAGAACAATTGTAACAATATGCTGTAATAAAATTATGTGAACGTATCTCTCTCTCCCAAAATATCTTATTGTCATGTAGCTCTTAGCAACCTCAGTATACACTTTTTTCCCTTTTCCTTATTGAGAACTTTCACCTTTTCACTTAAAAGGAAGCACTTTGTGGCTTCTCTTTGGCATATCCAAATTACCAGCATCACTACTCTTGCGCTTTGGGGCCACTGTTAAGTGAAGTAAAGATTACTTGAGCACAAGCACTGTGATGCCATGATAGTCGATCTGATCACCAAGGCGGCTACTAGGTGACTAGCAGGGTGGCAGCATATACAGCGCGGATGTGGCGGACCAAGGGGCGAGTCGCATCCCTGGCTGGCTGCAGCAGGACAGCAAGAGATGTCATCACGCTACTCAGAAGGGCACACCATTTGAGCCTTACAATTTATTTCTGGAATTTTCCATTTAATATTTTTGAACTGCAGTTGACTGCAGGTAAAAAAAAACGTGGAGAGTGAAACCACGGATAACAGCGGGCGGCTGTGTTCAGAGGGCGCTTCAACTGTTGTGGATCCTCTGATGTTCTTGGAGGAGGTTTAGCTGGTGACATGCCTTCCCACATTCCTTACATTCATAGGATTTCGGCCCACTGTGTGTTTTCAGGTGCTGTGTAAGCTGATGGCCATGACTAAAGCTCTTCCCACATTCTGTACACCCGTAGGGCTTCACCCCGGTATGAATTCGCTCGTGTTTCACAAGGCTCGAGCCGTAAATGAAAGCCTTCCCACACTCCTTACATTTATACGGGGTTTCGCCCGTGTGGATTCTCTCATGCTGAGTGAGATGATAGCCACAATTGAAAGCCTTCCCACATTCTGTGCATTTGTACGGCTTCTCCCCCGTGTGTATCCTCTCGTGCTTCACAAGGCTGGAACCCCAGCGAAAGGCCTTCCCGCATTCCTTACACTCGTGGGGCTTCTCCCCAGTATGGATCTTCTGATGCTGAGTAAGGTAATTTACTCGAGTGAAGGCCTTCCCACATTCTTGACATTCATAGGGTTTCTCACCTGTGTGAATTCTTTTATGCTGAATGAGGCTTGAGCCACAAATAAAGGCCTTCCCACAGTCTTTACATTCGTAAGGCTTCTCCCCACTGTGAATTCTCTTGTGCTGAATGAGTTTGTATACGCGGCTAAAAGTCTTCCCACAGTCTTTGCACTCGTAGTCTTTCTCCCCAGTGTGGAACCTCTGGTGCTGGGTGAGCTCGTCACCTCGCCGGAAGGCCTTGCCACAGTCTTTGCATTCGTAGGGTTTCTCCCCAGTATGGATTCTTTTATGAATAACGAGGCTTGAGCCCCATCGAAAAGCCTTCCCACAGTCTTTACATTCATACGGCTTCTCCCCGGTATGGATTTTCTGATGCTGAGTAAGCTGATTGCCCCACCGGAAGGCCTTCTTACATTCTTTACATTCGTAAGGTTTCTCACCAGTATGGATTTTCTGATGTTGACTAAGTTGATAGCCACGACTAAAGGCCTTCCCGCAATCCTTACATTCAAAGGAATTCTCCTTATGATGTCTCTGATGGGATCTGGGAGGGGTGCCTTCTCTGGTAGTGGGCCTTTTTACACAGTTGATGACCATTCGATTGACATACCTGCCTCTCGAGCGCTGTGGTCTTTCAGGCGTACCTTCATATATCCAGTTATGGCCAAGGGATTTACTTCTTCTATCTGAATTCCTTTTGGAAACGCGTATTTCATGAAGGCTTTTTTCTGTAGGTAAATTCTTAGTCTCATAGGCTGACTCCAAATCTGGAAAAAAAGAATATTTTGTTTCCTTTAGAGGGACACAAACACAAATAAACCTAATCACAAACCAAAAACTCTTCTAATAGAAAAAAAAAATTATCCAGTAGAATAAATGTGAATCACCCAGGGTTCTTATTCAATGTAGATTCTACTTCTGGCACGACGATACTTAATAAGAAGTAATCAGAGACATTTGTTCTAAAGTGAAACATGAAAAAGTCCCGACAGTTAGTCTCATGATTTCCTATATCTATTATTTCCTATTTTGATGATGAAAACACGTATTTGTAGATGATGTGATGATATACTTGGAAAACAAAAGAAAACCATATATAGAAGTAGCGTAGCAAAACAAAGTGCAGTTGGATAGCTGCGTGTAAAGCATTCTGAAACTGATACACACATGTTGGCAATATTATTAAAAGTAACTGGGTAAAGGCCCGGGAGTGGTGGCTCATGCCTGTAATCCCAGCACTTTGGGAGGTCAAGGCAGGCAGATCACCTGAGGTCAGGAGTTTGAGACCAGCCTGCCAACATGGCAAAACCTTGTGTCTACTAAAAGTACAAAAATTAGCCAGGCATGGTGGTGTGTGCCTGTAATCCCAGCTACTCAGGAGTCTGAGGCAGGAAAATCGTTTGAACCTGGCAGGCAGAGTTTGTCATGAGCTGAAATTGTGCCACTGCACTCCAGCCTGGGTGATAGAATGCGACTCTGTCTCAAAAAAAAAGGTAACTGAGTAAAAGGATACAACATTCAAAAGCAACAAAAAATATAATTTACAAGACTAAAAAAAAAAATGTAAAAAAAAAAACGATAAGGAAAACTTTGGAACTTGAGCATCAATAAGGGGGCTAACAGCAAAGGACTGAGAAACATCTAACATTTAAATCTATGAGTTCATAATGATACTACAAAATGTTCAATGGCCAGCTTTGGAGCATGCTAGGAAACCAGTCCTTTATTATAAAAACTGACAATTGGCTGAGTGCAACGGCTCACACCAGTAATCCCAGCACTTTGGGAGACTGAGGTGGGTGGATTACTTGACCTCAGGAGTTCAAAACCAGCCTGGGAAACAGTGAAACCCTGTCTCTATAAAAAAAATACAAAAATTAGCCAGGCATGGTGGTGTGCACCTATAGTCTCAGCTACTCAGGAGGCTGAGGTGGGAGGATGGCTTGAGCTCAGGAAGTCAAGGCTGCAGGAAGCCCAGACTGCATTACCGCACTCCAGCCTTGGTGGCAGAGTGAGACCCTGTTTCAAAAAATATAAAAAGAGAGAGAGAAAGAATACAACATAAAAACTGACAAAGAAAAAGAACAAAGTTTTTATCCTTCTTATCCAATACGAGCAGTGCCACTGCAGAAGCACTTAGCAGATGGAATAAACTTTCTCTTTAAATTATGACAGCTAATAAATGAAGGAGCAGTGATAAGCGTGCAGCATTTGAACCCACAGTGTAATGAACTGTAAGCACTGTCAATGACTGACTGCCAACAGCAAAGAGCTATAACCAGGTATTAGGTGCTTTATGGTAGAGGAACATTAACAGCACCCAGGAAGCAATACTGCCAACACTTACATATAAGAAAAGGCAAACAGGCACTTAAAGCGAGGCTAACCAACTTTCAGGAATGATAAAGAACAGAGGAGGGCCGGGCGCAGTGACTCATGCCTGTAATTTCAGCACTTTGGGAGGCTGAGGTGGGTGGATCACGAGGTCAGGAGTTTGAGACCAACCTGGCCAACATGGTGAAATCCCGTCTCTACTAAAAATACAAAAATTAGCTGGGCATGGTAGCATGTGCCTATAATCCCAGCTACTCAGGAGGCTGAGGCAGGAGAATCGCTTGAACCCAGGAGGCGGAGGTTGCAGTGAGCCGAGATTGTGCCATTACACTGTAGCCTGGGTGACAGAGTGAGACTGTCTCAAAAAAAAAAAAAAAATAACAAAGGATGATGTCACCTCTACCCCTGCTACTAAAGGTGTGGCCCACAGACCAGCAGCACCAGCAACACATGAGATGGGGTTAAATAAGACAGGAAAAACAAGGTGACAGGGACATGGGGTGCAGAGGCTTTGGGCCTAAACCTTTGTAGAGAGCTTCTCCAACACCTCAGGGTACCCCTGGCTCCCTGCTCAGTGGGGATGCTCTTTGTAAGGATGGCTGACGGGCTCGCACTTTCCTTTGTATGGTGGTCTTGTCTTTTCCCTCACAACTATCAAGTCTCATTCCCTTAATTCTATAAGACGATGCAGTTGGCTTGGAAATGATATGGTCTGCTTTAAAAAAGACAAAAAAATGCCAAAGGATGTAGACCTTAAGGAAGAATTTCAAGCTCAAAAATTAAAAGAAGAAATTATTTTTATTTTTTTGAGATAGTGTCTTGCTCTGTCACCTAGGCTGGAGTGCAGAGGCACGACGTCAGCTCACTGCAGTCTCTGCCTCCTGGGTTCCAGTGATTCTCCTGCCTCAGCCTCCTGAGTAGCTGGGATAACAGATGCAAGCCACTGAGCCTGGCCTAATTTTTTTTTATTTTTCAGTAGAGATGGGGTTTGACCACGCTGCCCAGGCTGGTCTTCAGGTGATCTGCCCACCTCAGCCTCCCAAAGTGCTGGGATTACAGGCATGAGCCACTGTACTGGCTTTAATTTTTATTATTTTTATTATTATTATTTTTTTTTTTTGAGACGGAGTTTTGCTCTTGTTACCCAGGCTGGAGTGCAATGGCGCGATCTCGGCTCACCGCAACCTCCGCCTCCTGGGTTCAGGCAATTCTCCTGCCTCAGCCTCCTGAGTAGCTGGGATTACAGGCACGCGCCACCATGCCCAGCTAATTTTTTTTTTGTATTTTTAGTAGAGACGGGGTTTCACCATGTTGACCAGGATGGTCTCGATCTCTTGACCTCGTGATCCACCCGCCTCGGCCTCCCAAAGTGCTGGGATTACAGGCTTGAGCCACCGCGCCCGGCCCAATTTTTATTATTTTTGAGACAGAGTCTTGCTGTCACCTAGGTTGGAGTGCACTGGCATGATCTCAGCTCACTGCAACCTCCACTTCCTGGGTCCAAACAATTCTCCTGTGCAAGCCTCCAGAGTAGCTGGGATCATAGGTGTGCACCACCATGCCCAGCCAATTTTTAATTTTTAAATTTTTTTTGTAGAGATGGGGTTTCTCCACGTTGATCAGGCTGGTCTCGAACTCCTGATCTCAGGTCATCTGCCTCCCTCGGCCTCCCAAAGTGCTGGGATTATAGGCATGAGCCACCACACCCGGCCCCAGCTAATTTTTTATATTTTTAGTAGAGATAGGGTTTACTATGTTGGCCCAGCTGGTCTCAAACTCCTGAACTCAAGTGATCCGCCCACCTCGGCCTCCCAAAGTGCTGGGATTACAGGTACGAGCCACTGCACCCGGCCAAGAAAAGGTCCTATTTTAAATTTCTGTACGCATTATGCCTGGAGGCAAGTGGAATATGACGGCTGGCAGCATGGAATCTGGGGCCCAACATTGTTAGATTCAATTCTAGCTCCTGCTCTGTCTGACCACTCCACTTTGTGCTTCAGTATCCTCATCTCCAAAATAGACAATGATTGTGCCTGTCTCATCTGCTTGTGAGAACGAAATGGTATGTACTCACATACATAGTGCTTAGAACAGTGTATGGCACAGAGTAAGTAATACGTATATATAGCTTACATGTGTTTATATATATTGCTTGTGTGTGTGTGTGTGTACGTAAATATACGTATATATATTTAGTGATGGGGTCTTGATATGTTGCCCAGCCTGGAGTACAGTGGTGTGATCATAGTGAACTGCAGCCTTAAACTCCTGGACTGAAGTGATCCTCCTGCCTCAGTCTTCCGAGCAGCTGGGATTACAGGCAGTGTCACCATAGATGGCTTAGCTATTAATATCGTTGTTATTTTACTAGAAGAAAAATAAGTTTCCAGAGATGTTTACAAGATACTGTCATTCAATGTTTAACTCAAAGTTCAGGGACTGTAACTTTCAACCTTACTTCAGGTATGACATGTAAGAAATGAAATATGGCTGGGCACGGTGGCTCACGCCTGTAATCCCAACAATTTGGGAGGCTGAGGTGGGTGGATCACAGGGTCTGTAGTTCAAGACCAGCCTGGCCAACACAGTGAAACCCCATCTCTACTGAAAATACAAAAACATGGCGGGCACCTGTAATCCCAGCTACTCGGGAGGCTAAGACAGGAGAATCACTTGAACCCGGGAGGCGAATGTTGCAGAGAGCCAAGACCGCCCCACTGCACTCCAACCTGGGCAACAGAGTGAGACTCTGCCTCAAAAAAAAAAAAAAAAAGAAATGAAATATGCTCACTCTGGTTTTACACAAATTCTGTTTGTCTAATCTACTCTATTTCAAGCACATAGGCTGGCTCACTGGAACAAATCAGGGCACTGCATCCACATGTTTTCCCTACAGATAGGTCCCTATAGTACCACAGACCACCAACAGTAATTTGGGTATAAACATAATATTATAGGACAAACTGGTTCCTTTGAAGATGGTCATGAAATAAATATCCCAGAATTCCAACTCACTCCATGGACATTAGGAAGAAAGCTGATTACGGGGGAGCCTGACAAAGGTGGGAAGATAACCGATGGATTTGAGAGGAAGGTGTGTGATGCTCATGGCCACACCAGTAAGACTCAACACACTCCTTGGGAACAGGAAGAAGAAATTCAACTAGTTTCTGGAAAGATGGTCCTGACATTCACAGTGGAGAGCTGATATTCCAGGAAGCAGTCTAAGTTATGTGGGTTGTGCAACTCACCCAGTGAGACCACATTACTGTAGTTTTCCAGCATCACATCCCAGTACAGGTCCCTCTGAGCAGAATTCAGACAGGCCCACTCCTCCTGAGAAAAGTCTATGGCTACGTCAGCGAACGTCACCAAATCCTGAAACAGAAACCCACATATGCGTGATGATGTGAAAGGAAACAGCTTCCAGCTGAAGGAGACAAGAGGCCACCCTTATGCTAAATATCCTGCTAGTAAAAAAAAAAAAAAAAAAAAAAAAAAAAGAGGCCACCCTCTGGGTAGGTTGAGCACCATGAGTAGACTGAACGCCTGTAGCACAGGCAGGGAGCGGAGAGGACATCAGCGTAACTGACGGAAGCAGAATACCTACATGTCACTCAAAAGCCATACCACTGCAGAGAAAATGACTTCTACTGTGCAGAATCCTCCATTAGTCAAACCTGCCAGGAAGTTTACAAGCAGTGTCTGCTCCGTGCCTGCCTTAAAAGTTCTCAACAAATGTGGGTTCCTACAGCATCTTTTTTTTTTTTTAAGGGGGGAAAAATCAAGATTTTTAAGTTTTAGTTCAGAAAATGGAGTTTGCATGTTTAAATGTTTTCAATCCTCAAGTTCATCATGCCGAACTACATTTTAAGCAGCCTTCCTTTTAGGCATTAAAAAAATTCCCACACAGATAAGCCAGACTGTTTATTATAGTTATCCACTTAGATTGACCAAAACACCTAAGGCTTTCTCCAATTCTGGGGTATGTGATCATCTCCTACTTCCATACTAGAAGATCTTCACATTTGTTGCCATCTACCAACCCTGACTTTTTTCTTTTTTTGAGAAAAAGTCTTGCTCTATTGCCCAGACTTGGCTCACTGCAACGTTCACCTCCTGGGTTCAAGTAATTCTCCTGCATCAGCCTCCCAAGTAACTGGAATTATAGACACGTGCCACCATACCCTGCTAATTTTGGTATTTTTAGTACAGAAGAGGTTTTACCATGTTGGCCAGGCTTGTCTGGAACACTTGACCACAAGCAGTCTGCCCACCTGGGCATCCCAAAGTGCTGGGATTACAGGTGTGAGCCACTGTACCTGGCCCCCTGTTCCTGATTTAGAGGATAAGAATGTCAGATTATTTGGAATCATCTTGCAGTCTGACAGGTCCATTCAATAAGAAAATTTATCTTCCAGTTTCCCCGGCAAGAACATGAGCTCTGTTCAAAGGTCCTAATCATAGCCCTATCTACTTCCAAAAGTCCCATGAAGCCTGGGATCTCAACACACATTAAGACTGACGCCAGGGCCGGGCGCGGTGGCACACGCCTGTAATCCCAGCACTTTGGGAGGCCGAGGCGGGTGGATCACGAGGTCAAGAGATCGAGACCATCCTGGTCAACATGGTGAAACCCCGTCTCTACTAAAAATACAAAAACTTAGCTGGACATGGTGGCGCGTGCCTATAATCCCAGCTACTCAGGAGGCTGAGGCAGGAGAATTGCCTGAACCCAGGAGGCGGAGGTTGCGGTGAGCCGAGATCACGCCATTGCACTCCAGCCTGGGTAACAAGAGTGAAACTCCGTCTCAAAAAAAAAGACTGACGCCAGCGAAGGAGCATCCCCTCCTAACTACGCAGAAAACAAGACCAGTGGAGGATTTGTTTCTCATGTGGTCAAATGGGACCAACATATCTAACTTATCAAGCCATGGACTTAAGTATTTTCTTCAAAGGACTTTGTTACTTCACTGCTCTGACATTACTTTTGCCAAAAAAGTGAGTAATAGGACATACTAAGGTGCTCACTCATTTCCCAAAAACGCAGATACGGAGCTACATGGCATTATCATTCACTAGGAATAGAAAGAATCGGCCAGGCGTGGTGGCTCACACTTGTAATCTAAGCACTTTGGAGGCCAAGGCGGGCAGATCACCTGAGGTCGGGAGTTCAAGACCAGCCTGACCAACATGGTAAAACCCTGTCTTAAAAAAAATAAATAAATAAAAATAAAAATTAAAAAAAATGAAAGAATCAGGAAATAGGTAATTATAAAGAGTTTGACTAGATAAAAGTCTTCAGATAAATCACAAGCATATGCACAAAACCCAAATATCACAGTTCAAGAAGGAAAGAGAAATACACACTTACCTGGGCCATTGTTTTAGAACTGAACAACTGATCAGTCTTCTTGGGGTTGCCTCTGCAGAAGACACAGATTCCAACAGGCTAGAGCTAGGGGTGGAAAAAGAGAGATTAAAATCAGGGGTGGCCAGGCACGGTGGCTCACGCCTGTAATACCAGCACTCTGGGAGGCCAAAGCGGGCGGATTACCTGAGGTCAGGAGTTCAAGACAAACCTGATCAACATGGAGAAACCCCATCTCTACTAAAAATACAAAATTAGCCGGGCGTAGTGGCACATGCCTGTAATCCCAGCTACTTGGAAGGCTGAGGCAGAAGAATCACTTGAACTTGGGAGGCAGAGGTTGCGGTGAACTGAGATCTTGCCACTGCACTCCAGCCTGGGCAACAAGAAACAAGAGTGAAACTCCATCTCAAAAAGAAAAAAAAAAAAAAAAAAAACGGTGCACCCTGGGTCCCCAAAGTGATATAATATGACCTTTCGGCTCCTCTGTCTTTGCTTCCCAAAACAAACACGTAACTGTGACATATCTGGGAAAAATTAAAGAGTATTATGGATCAAACCTAAATCAAGCTCTCAATGAAACCTCAGGAAATCTAGCTGCACGAAGCAGAGGATGCTTTACTTTTTCTTTCTTTCTTTTTTTTTTTTTGTCTCAAAGGCAGGCCCAGACAATTAAACAGAAGGATTTAGTTTCTGGCCAGCCCCCTATCAGGGACTGACAGGTGGGATGTAATAAAGTATGCGGTCTTGTCCAAAAAGAAGTCTGGCCTTTGCCCTCTGCTTCTGAAAAGTAATCTATATTATATCTACTAGGAATGTCTTTGTTTCTGATGAGGGCATCCGTTTATCCCAACAAAGAGTCAGTATATTCAGAATTATCTGGTCATGAACCTGACATCAGTGGCTGTCCTCAGGATGATGTCCCATTCCTGGCTCCTTTCTGAGTGTGTGACCTGGAATTATCCACAGGCCTTGACCACAGGCTGCCTTGCACTTCTTCTGTTTAGTTTCCATTGGTGCATTATTGACACTGTACAGGCAGCAGCTGAGTCCACTGAATCAGACTCTCATTCCAAGTACTAATAGCCTCAGCATCTGACATATTGTAGGCACTGAACAAATGTCTAATTTTGACTCAAAATTCTACATTCTGGAATTTATGACAAGGAAATAGCTATAGTAGTCTACAAATGCATGCCTAAGAATGTTAAAAAAAAAAAAAAAATAGGGCCGGGTGTGGTGGCTCATGCCTATAATTCCAGCACTTTGGGATTATAGGCACAAAGAGGGCAGATCATACGGTCAGGAGTTCGAGACCAGCCTGGCCAATAGGGGAAACCCCATCTCTACTAAAAATACAAAAAAATTAGCCAGGTGTGGTGGTACATGCCTGTAATCCCAGCTACTTGGGAGGCTGAGGCAGGAGAATTACTTGAACCCAGGAGGCAGAGGTTGCAGTGAGCTGAGATTGAGCACTTGTACTCCAGCCTAGGCAACACAGCAAGACTCCTTCTAGGGGTGGTTAAAAAAAAAGAAAAAATAAAGGAACAGTGAAAAAAAACCCACCTTACAGAACCTATCCTGAGAAATCCAACTTGAAAACATTAGCAAGAGGGTGAATCTTTTTTTTTTTTTTTTTTTTTTTTTGAGACAGTTTTGCTCTGTTGCCCAGGCTGGAGTGCAGTGGTGCAATCTTGGCTCACTGCAGCCTCTGCCTCCCAAGTTCAAGTCATTCTCCTGCCTCAGCTTCCTGAGCAGCTGAGACTATAGGTGCATACCACCACACCCAGCTAACTTTTGTATTTTTAGTAGAGATGGAGTTTCACCATGTTGGCCAAGATGGTCTCGATCTCCTGATCTCAAGATCTGCCTGCCTTGGCATCCCAAAGTGCTGGGATTGCAGGCATGAGCCACCACGCCTGGTGTGAATCTTGTGTTCTATGTGAAATGAAAGATACATGTGAATATTTTTAACTATAGTCATCTTATTCGTTTATCTTGCAAATGTTACTTACACAGTCCGAATTTGTTACCTGTATCTGTAACCTTGCTAATGCTATCCGGAAAGCCCATATTTGTAAGACACCCAATGATTTATTAGCTTTTACCAGTGATTACTGTCATGTTCTGGAAAAGAAACATGAAAATTCTGAATCTCTAGTTTTTTTGTTTTTTATTTTTTATTTTTATTTATTTATTTATTTATTTTATAGCTGCCCATCACTGATGTTTTTATTTTTTTTTGAGAAGGTCTCACTCTTTCACCCAGGCTGGATGGCAGTAAGCAGCCTTAACTCACTGTAGCTTTAACCGTCTGGACTGTAAGGAATCCTCCCACTTCAGCTTCCTAAGTAGCTGGGACCACAGGCACACACCATCACGCCTGGCTAATTTTTTAATTTTTTGGAGAGATGGGGTCTCACTATATTGCTCAGGCTGGTCTCAAACTCCTGGCCTCAAGCAATCCTTCCACCTTAGAATCTCTAATTTTAAAGGCTGTCTTTCTTGATAATTTGCTGCCATAGATTAGATTCAAAACTAGATTTAAAGAGTCTCTGGTGTATTTACATGATTAATTAGCAAGATTCCATGCTCCAGAAAGAAAATACATACATGCTTAAAGGCAAAAAGGAGGACTAGAAACATTAATTACAAAAACGAGGACTAGAAACAGTAATTACCTCTGGATTGTAATTATGGGTAATTTAGAGACTTTTCTCTAAGAGCTCTTTAGGGACTAATTTTTTTTTCCCCCAAGCAAGCCTGCATTAAGTCCATTATAAGAAATTTAACGAGATAGTCTCAAAAAAAAAAGCAAACGCAAACATATTTATGGGGGAGAAGGCACACTGTAGTCGTTAAGGAAACTCTGCACGGATAGGCCTGCCTCTTAAATGTGTGTATGCGTGTGCTGTGTGTACATATATTTTGAGACAGGGAGTCACTCTGTCACCGCTGGAGTATAGTGGCGTGAACACAGGTTACAGCAGCTTCAATCTCCTCGGTTCAAGTGATCCTCCCACCTCAGCCTCCCTAGTAACTGGGACCACAGGTGCACATGCCTGGCTAACTTCCGTATTTTTGTAGAGGTGGAATCTTGTCATTTTGCCCACCTCTCAAATATGTCTCTTTGGTAATTCCAGTACTTTCAAATGTGTTACCTTGCATGGCAAAGGAAAATTAAGGTTGCAGATGGACTTAACACTGCTAATCAGCTGACTCTTAAGATAGAGAAGATTATCTTTATTTTTTTACTTTTTATTTTATTTTTATAATAGAGACAAAGTTTCTCCACGTTGGTCAGGCTGGTCTCAAACTCCTGACCTCAGGTGATCCGCCCGCCTCAGCCTCCCAAAGTGCTGGGATTACAGGCGTGAGCCACTGCGCCCAGCCGGGAAGATTATCTTAAAGTTATACCGGAAGGCACAACACATAATGACCAGAGTCCTTAAAATTAGAAGAGGAGGTGGGCCAGGCACAGTGGCTCATGCCTGTAATCACAGCACTGAGGGTGGGAGGATAGCTTGAGCTCATGAGATCATGAGCAGCCTGGGCAATGCAGTCAGACCCTGTCTCTTAAAAAAAAAAAAAATTAAAAAAAAAAAGTTTGCCCTTTTAGCCACAGAGTCTATGGTATTTTGTTATAACAGACTGAATCAACTAACACAAAAATTAAGAAGAGTGTGCAAAATAGAAGACAGGCTAGATGCAGTGGCTCATGCTTATAATCCCAGCACTTTGGGAGGCTGAGGCAGGTGAATTACCTGAGGGAAGGAGTTTGAGACCAGCTGGGGCAACGTGGTGAAACCCCGCCTCTACTAAAAATACAAAAATTAGCTGGATGTGGTGGTACATGTCTGTAATCTCAGCTACTGGGAGTATGAGGCAGGAGAATTGCTTGAACCCAGGAGGCAGAGGTTGCAGTGAGCTGACACCACACCACTGCATGCCAGTATGGGCAACAGAGTGAGATTCCACTTCAAAAAAAAACAAAGACAGAAGACAGTTTAGTACAGAAAATGTGCTTAATAAATGTGATCAGAGGCCGGGTGCGGTGGCTCACACCTGTAATCCCAGCACTTTGGGAGGCCGACGCGGGTGGATCACGAAGTCAAGAGATCGAGACCATCCTGGTCAACATGGTGAAACCCCGTCTCTACTAAAAACACAAAAAATCAGCTGGGCCTGGTGGCGTGTGCCTGTAATCCCAGCTACGCAGGAGGCCGAGGCAGGAGAATTGCCTGAACCCAGGAGGCGGAGGTTGCGGTGAGCCGAGATCGCGCCATTGCACTCCAGCCTGGGTAACGAGCGAAACTCTGTCTCAAAAAAAAAAAAATGTGATCAGGCTGGGGCAGCAGCAGAGACGCTGGGGCTACAGGTTGCGCTGTCACCTGTCACACACACCTCCCTTCACTGAATACAACTGTCATGTTGGATAGGTCTTATTCAATAGAATTTCTAGGTACTTTTGACACGTTCTGTTGTTTATAACTATTAGCAGTGCTTAATATTATGCCATATGCATTTTTCTTTCTTATGGCTATCTCTAAATTTACTTCCTTGTAGCTGCAGTGTATTCTATGAAATAAATGTGGTATGATTACTTAACATTTGAATCATCCTGAACAGTAATTGTGGTCAAGGTAACACAGTCCTTGATTCTCTATCAACGGTCTAAATGTCTTTGAGAACGATAAAAAGTCTAAATGTCTTTCATGGCCTTCTTAATGCCATGAAATTACAGAATATCTCCTCAGGGGAAAAAAAAAGACACTGATAAACATACACAGTAAGTGTATATAACAATGATCCTTGGAAAATTATAAATGGAGTTAAAAATCAGCTGGACCTGCCCAGGCATCGTGGCTCACACCTGTAATCCAGCACTTTGGGAGGCTCAGGTGGGTGGATCACCTGAGGCCAGGAGTTTGAGACCAGCCTGGCCAACATGGAGAAACCATGTGTCTACTAATAACATAAAAATTAGCCGGGCATGGTGGTGGAGGCCTTTAATTCCATCCAGCTACTTGGGAGGCTGAGACGGGAGAATCGCTTGAACCCAGGAGGCAGAGGTTGCACTGAGAAGAGACTGCGCCACTGCACTTCAGTCTGTGCAAGAAGAACTAAACGTTGTCTCAAAAAAAAAAAAAAAAAAAAAAAAAATCAGCCGGACCTGTAAGCACATGTCTATAGTCCCAGCTACTCAGATAGGAAAGGAGAAAAAAATCTCTTGAGCCCACGGGTTCAAGGTTACGGTGAGCTGTGATCGCACCACTGTACTCCGGCCTGGGGGACAAAGGGAGACCTCATCTCTTTTTTTAAAAAAAAAACACAGAACAGCTTGTGCATGGTGGCTGATGCCTGTAATCCCAGAACTTTGGAAAGCTGCGGCGGGCAGACTGCTTGAGCTCAGGAGTTCGAGATGAGCCTTGGCAACATAGTGAAACCTGTCTCTACAAAAAACACAAAAATTGGTCCCAGCTACTCAGGAAGCTAAGATAGAAGGATCACTTGAGGCCGGGAGGTTAAGACTGCAGTGAACTGTGATTGCACCACTGCACTCCAGCCTGGGAGACAGAGTAAGATCCTGCCTCAAACAAAAAACAATCCCACAAAACAAAATGAAAACAAACAACAACACAAAAAATAGGACTTCAGGTTAAGGATTCCAATTCTAAATCATTTAAAGCTGTGGTTCATTTTGTGGAAGGCCCTCTGGTTAAGGATAACAGTTCTAGACCATTTGAGGCTGTGGTTCATTTTGTGAACTTGCGAACACCCATCCCAGTTACCTTCCTATGTACGTTGCTTCTGATGTACAGACATCCAGACTTAACACATAACAGCAGCACTCACTGCACACTTACACTCCGGGGTGCTCGTCTGTGGGTTTTATGCATGTTCATGTATTTCACCCTCCTCACAAGCCTATCTTCTTCAGAAGGCTCAAAAAGCTAAGAGGCAGAAACAGGACTCAAATCTTGGTCACCTACATTCAATGTTTGGTCTTAAGTCTTATAAACACATATCATTTAATTAAAAAACAAAAGGAAACACACCTGAACCTGTAAGATTTTTAAAGATTCGTCTTCCTCCTCGGGGATGCTTTTTCTGAAGGATGCTGGCCTGGGGGAAACAGAATTTCGGGAGGACAAGCAACCTGCCATACCTAATGAAACCAATGAGAAATACGAGGCCCCGAGATGGAGTTTCTGAGATTCCTGAAGAGCAGGCTGAGGTTAATGAGATGATGAAGCGCGGAACCGCCTCTCTCCCCGTCTCCCACACCAGGGACTTGTCCCTCTACAGGAGAAGAAGTACTCCTAAGGCCACCATCTCCTGTCACTCAGGCGGCCTGCATGGAGAGCACGTCTGGCTCTGAAAGTGTCACCTCATGGCTGTTTCTGCCTTTTTGTTGGTGAATTTCCCGGTGGGGCTCAGGTGCTCTCCTCTCTCTGCAAGCCCTTGTTCTCAGGCAGGTAGCGTTTGGTTAGAGGGTGAAGGCAGGCGCTGCAACAGCAACGCTGGAGCTACAGGTCGCGCTGCCACACACTCCTGCGCCACCCAGAAGGCCCGATCATCCTCATGCAGTACAAGGCTGCACGGCTCAGCCTCACCACAGCACACGCTGTCCCGAGACACATCTGTGTTCGTCACACCCACTAACGCCCAGCACGGCCATGCTGCCGGCCCCGCCACCCCACACCGTGCAAAGGCGCATCCGTGGGCCATGGAGACCGTCCGGGCCGCCGCCCCCACAGAGCCTCCAGAGCTCACCTGGCAGAGCAGAGTCCCAGGAACCTCCGCGCCAACGAGGTTCACAGGCGCACCCCAAAGCCTCTGAAGCACCCCCGGGCCCCAGTTATGGGAAGAACCTGGCTGTGTTACCCCAAACTCTCTCTCCAGCAAGTGCGTCACCGTCAAAAGCCCGGTACCCGTCTCTCCCTTGGAGCCACGCGCGCCAATCTCACCTGCACGGACTGGCGGAGAGGCAACGGCTGCGTCACCAGTGCAGACGCGCACCCGGCACGGCCCCCACTGACGCTCGCGCGCACCCGTGTCACAGTTACGGGGACAGAGCCACCGCGTCAGCCTCGCACTCCCACGCAAGTGCGTCACACACTGGGTCCCACCACCTCTGGAGGCCAGAGCGCATGCGCATGCGCACCCCGGACCCGGGAAGAACCTCGCGCACCCAGCGGCCAGAGCGCGCAGGCAGCAGCAGAGCCCGACACGCATGTGCACACAGATCCTGACACGCATGTGTGCGCGCAATCGTGTGTGTGGTCACTTAGACCTTGACACGCATGTACAGCCACACAGACCCCTACACACATGTGCGCGTGCACCCTTCCTACCCTTCCTTCCTTGGCCTCTCCCGAAGCCGCAGGCACACTCTGCGGTCCCCCAACTCTCATGCTCCCGGCACCCCTGGATTCCTCCTGGGAAGGGAAGGCCCCACTCAGGCCGAACCACACCAGGGCCTCTGGAAGAGGTAAGAGGCTTGAGGAGAACTCCGGACCGTGTCCGGGGAAACCAGAGCCCCAAACCCCGTGTCCCAGCATGCAGCGCCTTAAACACTTGGGGGAGGTGGGGCGGCCTCTGGGAAACGAAGTCCGGCATGGTCCCAGGCAGGGGTGGAGAGGGGCCGTGTCACCTCAGCTGGTACCTGTCTGGTCTCTGAGGGGGGTGATGCCGGGGAGCCATGGCTGTCCTCAGAAGGGTGTCCTCTCCTAGCCCCTCTGGGGCATCACCTGGATTTCTCTGCACGGGCTGCCCTGTGTTCCTTATTGGACTGTAAACAATATGCAGGCAGCAGTTATGCCTGGTTAGTCACGCTCTCAGCCTAAATACTGTCACAGGGTCTACAAAATGTTGTGGGTACTTAACAAGTCTCATTTTGACTCAAAATTCCACTTTTTGGAGTTCATCCCACGGAAATAGCTATAGTAGTACACAAATGTATGCTTAGTATGTTCAGAGATTATCTTGTGTGTGTGTGAAAGCTTTTTTCTTTTTTTTAAATTGATACAACTGTAGATTCTTAGGTAGTTGTACACATAAAACTGAGAGCGCCTACGTATGTTTCACCTGGTTACCCGAGCTGGTGATTGTAGTGTATAAAGTATAATATCACTGCCAGGACATCATCCATTGATGTTATCCAAATTTCAAGACAGTATTTTTTTTTTTTTTTTTTTTTGAGATGTAGTTTTGCTCTTGTTGCCCAGGCTGGAGTGCAATGGCATGGTCTCAGCTCACGGCAACCTCCACCTCCTGGGTTCAAGTGATGTTCCTGCCTGAGACACCTGAGTAGGTGGGATTACAGGCATGTGCCACCATGCCCGGCTAATTTTGTATTTTTAGTAGAGACGGAGTTTCTCCATGTCGGGTCAGGCTGGTCTCGAACTCCTAATCTCAAGTGATCTGTCTGTCTCAATCTCCCAAATTGCTGGGATTACAGGCGAGAGCCACTGTGCTTGGCCAAGATAGTAATTTTTAAAAATGTAAATCTTGCAGAAGATAGAGGAAAATATCACAGTAAAGGACAGAATAAATTACAGTCTGCTATATAATGGCATAAAATACATTTACTAGGTCGGGCGCGGTGGCTCACGCCTGTAATGCCAGCACTTTGGGAGGCTGAGATGGATGGATCACCTAACGTCAGGAGTTCGAGACCAGCCTGGCCAACATGGTGACACCCCATCTCAAAAAAATAAAATAAAATAAATAAATGAAATACATTTACTAATGGTGATACTGATTCACATAAATTGAAACAGTGTATCATGAATAACTAAGAGAGGAAGGTAGGTTTGAAAAGGTATGTATAATTTGGGAGGAGATATTTTGGTGAGATTAAGAACACAGGCTCTGAGCTCTAACAGTTATTAACTGCTGGTTTCCTCACTAGTAAAACTGGAATAATACTATAAGGTATGACTGTCTCAACTATTTAGTATCAGAATATCTAATACATACAGTAATATATAAAAATTTTTTAAGTTTGTGGTTACTACTGAAGATCAGTAACATTACATTATCCTGAATCCAGTCTTAAAAAAGAAACTCATCTGCTGTTTTTAATTGTTTTGAAACAGGGTCTCGCTTTGTCACTCAGGCTGGAGAGCGGTGGTATGACCTCAACCTCTGTCTCCTAGGCTCAAGTCATCTTCCCACCTTAGTCTCTCAAGAGCTGGAATTGCAGGTGCACACCACCATGTCTGGCTAGTTTCTGTATTTTTTCATTTTTATTTTATAGAGATGGGGTCTCAATACACTGCCCAGGCTGGCCTTGAACTCCTGAGCTCAAGCAATCTGCCTCCTTGGCCTCCCAAAGTGCTGGCATTACAGGTGAGGGCCACTGCACCCAGCCTGCTGTTTTTTTATTATGCTAAAATATGTACTTGTCAAACCAGCTGTCTATATAGTGTATGCTAATTAAAAAGAACTTTCAGAGCCTGATGTTAAGAATGAAATTTGTTTTGTTTAAGCATGCTAGGTAAAAAGATTCTAAGACACATAAAGAGGAAATGTTCCCTCTCACAAGCAAGCAGGGGAACAGAGAGATGATTCTGCATCAAAAACTGTGCTCAAATAATACCATCTTAGAAGATGTCAAACTGGGAACATTAGAAAGAGGATGAATCATGTGTTCTAGGAATTTATGCAAACCATTTTAATTGCCACTGTACTCAATTTCACTTATCTTGGATTTGTTATTTGTATAGTAGTTGTTTTTTATTTGTACATGTAATCATAGATATGTTACTTGTACAAGCGCATTTGTAAGGCAACAGGCGTCAGTGATTACTGTCATGGTCTTTGAAAGAACCATTAAAATCATAGAAAATCTAATTCTGAAAGGCTGTAGAGCCATCCCTCAGTATCCAGATTTGTTCTAGAACCCGCCTGGATATCGAAATCCTCCAATGCTTGAGACCCTTATACAAAGTGGTGTAGTATTGGCACATAACCTATGCACATTCTCCTGTACACTTTAGATCATCTGTAGATTCTTCATATTTAACATATGTGCTATGGTAATAATTTTCATACTGTATTGTTTAGAATGAGAAGAATAAAGGTCTACACACGTTCAGTACAGATGCAAACATCCTATTTTTTTCCCAAAAATATTTTTGACCTGTGGTTGAATCCACAGACACAGAACTTATTCCAAGGGTGCTATTTTTTAAAATAATTTATTGCCATGGGATTAGTTTCAGATGATGTGTCTCTAATCCCATAAGGTGTAAATATATGAGAGGTTTTGCAAAACAAGACAAAGATCACTGACACACCCCTCCCATCCCCATATGCTCACAGGTAAAATATGACCCGTGGCTGGGCTGGATGCCTTTTACAGATGACCATTTGGAAAGTCTTTGATTCATTTACTTTATCAATTACAAGGATGTACTGCTCCAGAAACAAAAACACGTACATGTTTAGAGGGGAAGCAGAAGACTATAAACATATATACCAAAATATTATTAGCAATAATTATCTCTAGATGGGATTATGGGTAATTAATTTTAAGATTCTTCCTTATGAGCTCCTTAGAGGACTGCATTTTTTTGCCGTTGGCCTGCATTAATCCCATTATAAGAAATTTAAGTTAAGGGAGTCCTAATTTAAAAAAATGATTAATGGCTGGGTGTGGGGCTCACACCTGTAATCCCAGCACTTTGGGAGGACAAGGTAGACAGATCACCTGAGGTCAGGAGTTCGAGACCAGCCTGGCCAACATGGCAAAACCCCGTCTTTATTTAAAAAAAAAAAAAAAAAAGAAACCCCATCTCTACTAAAAATACAAAAATTAGCTGGACGTGGTGGCAGGGGCCTGTAATCCCAGCTACTTGGGAGGCTGAAACAGGAGAATATTGCTTGAACCCAGGAGGTGTAGGTTGCAATGAGCCAAGATCTGGCCACTGCACTCCAGCCTGGGTGACAGAGTGAGATTCCATCTCAAAAATAAAAAGACAAAATAGACTTTAAATCAAAAACTGTAAAGAGAAGCAAAGAATGTCATTATATAATAAAATCAGTCCATCAATCAAGATGATATACTAACATAGATATGTATGCATCCATAATTGGAGCTCTTAAATACGTAAAACAAACATTAAGAAATCTGAAGGGAGAGTTAGATTT